ATTCCTTTTTCATTTCTCTTTCTCTCCCAATCTCTTTCAACTCTTCTCTTTCTCTTTCTTTTTCTCATTCTCCTGTCTCTTTTTCCCTTCATCCCTCCCTTCCTTTCTCTCTCTTTATTTCCTTCCTACAATAGTTTCACATTCTTGCATTCCTCTGGGACACTGGCATCCAGCTCCCTGAAGCTCAGAAGGTGAGGGGCTTGGGGAGCAGCCCTGCAAGCGTTTTCTTAGATTCCCCTCCCGCTGGAAGGCAGCAGACACTCATCTCAGGGGAAGCCTCCCGGAAGCCAGCACCTTGGCCCAGGGCAGTCCCCTCCACCCACCACCAGCCTCATTTCCTGAGCACAAGAGGCCTCTGCTGGAAGAAGCCAAACTTTGCACTTTCCCCAACAGCTGGCTTGCCTCTTGCTACTCAATTTTATCTTTTATTTTATTTGCTTCTGTAAAATTAGGAAAACCTTACCAAAAAGAGGAATTAGAAATTTCATCAGCTTTCTGCCTGAATTTTTCTTCTTCAACTCAGGTCATGAAGCTCAATGATTATTTTCCCTTAGTACAGAAGACTTAAGTTGCTCTTTCCTTTTGAGAGATTCCTAGGCCTGATCACTCCAGCCTTATCCTTTGAGGAATAATATTGATAAGCCAGCATCTACTATGTTTACACCTTTATTTTATTTAATCTTCACAGTAACACTGTGAGATAGTTATTACCATTAATCTCACCTTCAAGATAAGGAAACTGAGGCTTGGAGGCTGATTGGTCCAAGGCCAGTGCTGGGAGTTTCAGTATCAGAGCAGGAGCCCGTAGCCCTGCACCGCATGCAGCCTGCACACGTACAGACACACGTACACACACACAATTTGGATCTTTGACAAGGCAAAATCTCATTCATGTTTGCAGGTTGACTATTTTAAAATCTTCTAGTTTCAATATGAAAAATATGGGGAGAGAAGCATGCCAACCACCCAACTTTGGCTTGAGATTTCATTGTAAAAGAGCAGGGGCCCTTCCTTCACCCACTTTTGCAAGTTGTGTCCCCAACAGCCTTCCTCACTAGAGACACAACTGCCACTGTAGTATCCCAGCACAAGGAAGTAGGCGATACATCCCCCAGCTAAGAGGATACCCAGGTGCCCACACTACCCTCTCCATGGCCAAGATATGTTTGGCCTCAAAGACCTATGCCTTTATCCATGAGGATGCGTTTAATTATAAAATTACGTCAAGAATGCCTGACTATAAATGGGTTAAACAAATAAGGACTTTAAAAAAATACCATTACAAGAATATTAGAGATAGATACATCTATATTTTACATGGAATCTTTCCCTTTTTAAATGTTAGCATGTAATTCAACTTTTTAAAACACAGTCTAGGCCATGACTTGCTGGCCAAATATGACCTAAATCTTCAGGATGACTAGGCAGGATGGGAGGGGATCCAGGCTCTACCTGCTGCTCTCCCATTCTCACTGCTGCCCCCGACATCCCCAGCTTCCCTGGCTGATGCTGTTCACAGCCACCACCCAATGCCTGCAAATGTTCAGTTCTGCCTACCTCCCTAGGTTGTTCTGATGGCTTCACACAGAGGCAGTGATGATTGTAATAGCTCACATTTGGTGATAGTTACTATGTGCAATCCATAATCTATGCATTATCTCCTTAACACCTCACAATTAGCCTATGACGCAGATACTGTTACTGTTCCAATGTTAAAAGAAACTAAGGCACAGAAAGAGTCTATAACCTGTATCCAAGGTCATGCAGCCTACTACTAGTGGATCTGGGACTGAAACACAATAAGTTCAATTTCAGTGCCCATGCTTTTAACTGCTGTATCAATTAGGATGCTTTTGGTTGTAAAATCAGAACACTGGACTACAAGATTAAACAATTAAGCCTTTATTTCTTACCACATTATAAGACCAAAGTTAGATGGTTAAAGGTTAATTTAGCAGGTAAACATCTCTGACACCTGCCGTCAACAATGTTTCTTTAAGGTCACCAAAAAAGGGCTGCAGCTGCTCCAAGTATCTGGTCCTCAAACAGCTTCTCAGTTTTACCCAACAGCAGAGGGTTTCGCCTCAGGTCTGTCTCTCATCAAGCAGGGAAACCTTCCCCCAGTAACCCCACATTAGACATCAACTGATGATTCATTCTTGAAATGTTTCATGTGCCTAACCCTACATCAATCACTGGCAAAGAGGACTAGGCTTAGAATAACAAGTTATGATTCAGTCTCCAAGACTGGACATGGCCACTTCTATTAGCAGAGAGGAGGAGGATGTGGCTGTGAGGTGGCCAGCCAACAGTGTTTGCTCCAACCCCTGGCAGTGGACCAGTAAATTTTACAAAACCAGCAATAAGTAGCAAGCACAGAATCAGAACAAGAGGGTTGTTCCCACATAAAAGATGAGGCAGGAATGAGTACTGGTTCTGACACAGAAACGTTCGTGAGCCAGAATGTCTCATTTCCTGAGAGTTGTAGGTAACTTAGGTGTTATTATAATCATGTGTACTTGCTCCCTGCATAGCACAATGTGGCACATGGGGAAACTCAATAAATCTTGTTTAAAGACAGAGACCAACTTACACGGTTAAGCAAACTTTTCTTTCATGGCAGGATTCAGTAACTCCTGTCTACAGAGTTTATAAAACATGCAACAGTGATGCATTGCTCTTACCTTTGCTAAGCTCATTCACCGTCTGGCCCCATTCAGGACTTAAAGATGTCTTGGCAAGTTAGTGCCACCCCGGCTTGTAGATTACAGGCTCAGAGCTCAGCCTAGCTAACCAGCTGATTTTGTGCTTTTTCTTCCTTGGGTATTAATTACAATGAAGGTCTTTAAAGATACATTTCTCAACTGAAATTTTTCGACCTATCTTTTTTACCATAAACTTTGCAAAAAGCTTCCCTAAAGTATTGAATAAGATGGTGCCTTATCTAATGTTGCTTCCCTGTCAGCATCACATTCACCTTAAGGACTTGTCACCAGCTGGAATTGCCTCGTACGCTGGCTTATTGACTCTCTCCCCTACAATAGATGGTCCATGAGAACTAGGACATATTTGCCTTTTTCATTGCCATACCCCTAATGACAAGGACAATGCCTGCCCAGAGTGGCCTGCAATACATGCTCAATAAATGAATGAATAAATTCTTAAGTCAAACAGCGTCTAGGGGCAGAATATAAACACATCTTAACTTGCCAGTGATTTTAAGGTTTTGTATGCTACTCTGGTTCATGGCTCTGATAAATCAATTAGAAAACAAGAATTCTCCCATGCACTTCAAAATATTACTGTCTTTTCTGCATAACCCTTTTAATTGCATGTGCTTATTGAATTAATAAGATTGCATTCCATCAAGACAGACACTGGGGATGTTTTCAAATGCTTTGAATTTCCTACACAGACAATGCCTACTTGCTTTTCTCCCTCAATCTTACCAAGCTGGGGAATAAGTTCATATCTGAGAGCCAGAGGTAGCCCAAGGGAATATTCTTTCTATCTCAGGTCTTTGTCACTTTAGGAATGTTAGGGAAACATCTTTATTTCTCCTGCGTGCCAGTTCACCTTCATTCCAACAGAGAACAATATCTTTCTATTTATTTTCCAAGTGGCTTCTCATGGTTTGAAAATGTCTCACGATGAAAAGTCAAGTAAGGAAAAAAAGAGAGAATAAGAAGAGTTACTGTGAATGTGAATGAGAATGAGAAAATCATTATTGTTATTGTTCTCTCTGTTCTGAAACGGGAAGGCATAATCCTATGAACTGACCTCTCTTCATCCCACTCTCTCTGGAATGTGCTTTGCAAGAGCACGGCAGTAGGACCTGGTTCTAGTCTTTTTATCCTATTGTTTGCACAACTAAGGATATGGTTTGGATATTTGTCCCCACCTAAATCTCATGTTGACACGTAATCCCCAGGGTTAGAACAAGGGCCTGTTGGAAGGTGTCTGGATCATAGGCACGAATCCCTTTGGTGATAAGTGAGCTCTCCCTCTGAGTTCACAGGCGGTCTGGTGGTTTAAAAGTATGTGGCACCTCCCACCCACTCTCTCACTTGCTTCTGCTTTCGCCATATGACGTGCTTGCCCCCGCTTCACCTTCTGCCCTGATTGTAAACTTTCTAAGGTTTCATCAGAAGCCCAGCAGATGCCTGGTGCGATGCTTTCTGTACAACCTGCAGAACTGTGAGCCAATTAAACCCCTTTTCCTTATAAATTACCCAGTCTCAGGTACAGCAATGCAAGAATGGACTAATACAACCACTAACAGAAAAACCCTATTGGAAACTCAAAGTCAAGAGTAAGTGATAACAAGGTAGGTGTTATTATTCCCATTTTGCCACAAGAAAACTGAGCACGGAAGTTAAATAACTCGATTAAGATTACAGAACTAGTAAGGGAGGAACTACAAAGTATACTCTGGCCCATCAGCTTCAAAGTCCCTTCTTGGGGCCCATGGCAAAACATGCACAGGGGTAAAGAAGAGCAGTCCTCCCTGCCCTGAAGCAATGCTTTGCTAAAACAAAATTTGCAATAGTCATAAGAACATATATATTTATCACCATGTAAGACTCTTTGGAGTCCCAGCCCCCTTGATAAGGCTGTGTGTGTGTGTGTGTGTGTGTGTGTGTGTGTGTGTGTGTGTGTGTATGTGTGAACATATAAAATGAGGATACTCTTAGATACTTAAGGAGAAGACTGGATTGTCTTTTAGAGTCACTGAACCTAATAGTTCTCATTTTTAAAACCAAAACTACTAATAATATCTCAGTTTTAAAGCCTAACACTCTTTGCTGGTCCATTCTATAACCAATTACATGACTGTTTCCAGAGAAAACCTCTCACATGTCTTAGTTTAGATTCTTCAAACTCTCAGTTTGCCAAGCAGAATAATAACCAGAGCTAAATGGAAATTAGGGTTCAATACTGTATTGGGCACAATTGAATATTTATAGAATGGTTAAATAAACCACAGGTGAAATATCAAGTTGTCAATGTAATGTATGTAATTTTTATTTTTATGTAATTTCACACTTATAGAAAAATACCCATATACCTTTACCCAAATAGCTACTTATTAACATTTTGCCTCATTTGCATTATCATCAATGTAATTTTATAAACATAGTAATGTATAATAAGACAATTCTATTGCAATTTAAAATTAGTCGATATAAATAAAATTATTTAAACTCAAGCTAAAAGGAACACCATTTTGCTGCCATGGTCCACAAGTTTAAATCCAATTTGCAGGCTTTGCATTGGAAAGCATATTGGATTTAGAAAAGTGTAAAGCCCACACACTATCATAGGTGATGACCAATGTCAGGACCCCCAGAAATTTCCAGTAATATCAGTGACATTCATTTCCATGTGAGCATATTTTTCAAAGGAAGATCACTCTATCAGCCTTTAAAAAAAGAAGTTGTTGTTAAAACAATATCTTATAACAAAACCCATAAATGAAAAAAGTGTCCTACCCCAAAAAGTAATCAAATAGCAACAATCAACCTCCTAAATTGTCTATCAACATGGCTACCACCAAGAAATCTTTGTTGTAACATTTCAACCTCCATTTCCCTCTGAAATAAGGACAAAGCACTTCATTTGAGAATTCAGTATGCCCCAAAGCCAACTATGAAACCTCTATCACCTGGAAACCTTCCCTTTGGTTCCACGGATCCTGCCATGTCACATTCTTGTGACCCCCTGCAGGGCCATCTTATTATAACGAGTCCATGTCTTGCTAAAGCTGAGAGGTGAAGGGCTAAAAACACAGTCCCAGCACAGATTCCAGGACTCCCAGGCACAGGCTTGTTTGAGGATATCGCCTGGGTTAACAGCTTCCCCTGAAATTGTTCAGTGTACAACTCTTCACAGACCAATCGCTCAGAGGCGTGGCAGCAAGCAGACGTGTCTCTCGGCTTCTCTCCTTGTCTCTGTTGTCTTCCTCTCCAACCAGTTCTTTAGAAATGCTTTATTTCCCTTGTCCACTGAAAATACAACCTAGATTCCTTCAGTAAATATCTGTTAAGGAGGTCACATGAAAAGATTGCTCCAACTCACTCTTGCTGGTGGGCTCCCAAGGGTAAAATAATATAGTTTGTGTCTTCTCAGTCATGAGGAAACCATTGTCACTAAATCTCCCTGGGATGCTTCCTACATCCAACCAAACAAAGGGAGCGACAGCTGAAGTCTCCAGATCAAAAACAAATATGTCACCTTGCTGAGAGATGATGGCCTGAAAAAGAAAAAAAGAAATGAAGTGAGGAATGAGGGAAGAGTTATAGAGTCTGTATACAGCTCCTGTAAACATTTATGTGGGCCTAAAGAGTGCATTTCCCAAATCTTTGGTTCTACAACTGCTAACGGGCAGTTTCAATCACATAACAATACATAGAAAATGACTAGAGGCTATGGAAAGTTACCAAATTATAATCTCAAATCAAGGAAACACATCGTCTCCAATCATTAAGAATATTTCACAAGAAGCTCAAAGCTTTACATCTTTTACAGTTTTTCTCAGAGTGTCATCAGCAGAGCAACATTTTTACATATAGCCTGGGTGGTTTTAATGACTTTCTAAGGCTATATCTGGACCTAACTACAGAACTCAACTGTGGAGCTTATATTCGAGTCTTCTGAAAAGATCCAGCAATCTAGAAAGCCCACTGCCGGAAATTTACAAAAGTTCTGCCATTAGAACTTCTCTCTTTTATTGCATAGTTCAGTAAAGTCACATTATTAACATTTTTTTACATGTAACATGTAAAATGAATTCCACAAAATAGTAGCAAAAAGAGAGAGTGCCATTTAAATCATGTAGGCTCCATTCCACTTAATTAGCTGAAGTGCATATGCCCAGAGGATGCACCACTTCCCAGACGGTAAGGGTGTGCAAGCCTCTCTTAGCGTGAGCACGGAGCTGAGTTCCACCTGCTTTCTTTTTTTGTTTTGACAGTCTTGCTCAGTCGCCAGGTGCCAGGCTGGAGTGCAGTGGTGCAATCTCGGCTCACTGCAACCTCCACCTCCTGGGTTCAAGCAACTCTCCTGCCTCAGCCTCCCGAGTAGCTGAGACTACAGGCGCGTGCCAACATGCCCAGCTAATTTTTGTATTTTTAGTAGAGACAGGGTTTCACCATGTTGGCCAGGATGGTCTCGATCTCTTGACTTCATGATCTGCCCGCCTCGGCCTCCCAAAGCGCTGGGATTACAGGCGTGAGCCACTGCACCCGGCCCCACCTGGTTTCTTAAGCTGCACATTTATCACGCAACATCTCAGCCTTACATTATATGTTATGTGTTACAAAAACAGTTTCAAAGAGCCATTTTCACTATATATAATTTAGCCTTACATATTTGTACAATATGTTATCATTCAGGGTTCTGAGTTATACACAAGGAAACCTATTGATACAAGCAGAAAAGAAAATTAATAAAGTGTATCAGGTAGCTCTTCAGGGCCAGAGACTCAGGCTTGAATTTAGATGGCAAATTCCCAGATCACACCCCCCAGCTGTTCCAAGGAACCTCCTAAAGCAGCCACAGGAACAAGGTTCACACAGCTCCTGCCAGCCAGCCCAGGAGGCTGCCAGGGCAGCCCCAGGTACTACTGCTTCAAGACCAGGGCAGAAAGAGAGGCCAGTGCCTTGCTCACTCTGGTCACCTTCTTTGGATTGGAAATCTCTTCTCTGAATATCTGACTGCAGAGCCTGGGATTCAAGCTTGCACCCTGGCTTCAGGGAGATGGGGAGAACAAGTTTCTGGCATCTCCCTTGAGATAAGAAGCCAAGTACCTAGTCTATATTAAGCCAGAAATAAATGTCAACTAACATTATTATTAATATCATTTTCTCTCCTTAAGAAAGACAACTTTCACTGAAATCAAAATGAGATAGAACAAAGAAAGAGCCCTGCTTTTCTCCCACCCCAATTACCCACCTCAAGGTCATGAAGGCCTAACTTGGGAAACAAAACAATTTTGTTTTCAAAATCGGAAGTTTAGAGACTACAAATTCATCCAGTACATAGTTTTTGTTTTTCTTTTTTGGAAAGAAATGTACGTAAGAGTATGTTATTTCCTTCTGTTCTGTTCTCTATTAGTTGTTACAGATAACTTGGATTTTATTATGTAACTATTTATTAATTTAGAAAGAAGGTATGTTTTCAATTGTTAGGCCTCTTTAAAATAAAACACAAGGATTAGGTGTTACATATATTTTTAAATTAAATGTAGAAAACTCTATGAAGTAAAAGTGTAAAACAGATTTAAAATTTTCTAAAAATAGAGAATGTAACTTTCTAGAAAGATATTTCCTGAGTGTCCAGGAGATAGGATAGCAAAATTTAAAAACATGTATTTCCAATTGCTATGTGTAGGGGAGAAAGAAGGGAAGGTTTTTAACCTACTAGACAAATGCCAAATTCTCCAGCTGCACAATTTTTATAACAACACATCCTGATCATCCCATTTTTATATCTTGGCAATTATAAAAAGATTTGGTGATTGAGCTACTTTGAAGCAATAAATCAAAGAGACCAGAGTGAATATTAATAGACTCTACTTAAAATTAGACTGTGTCAGCTGGGCTCCAATGCTTCCCAGCTCCAGGACCTCAAGCTCATAACTTAACCTCCTAAACTGGCTTCCTCACTTATGAAATGCAGATGATAATGTTTGGAGCTGTGGTGAAAGTCAGAGACTATGCAGTGAAGCCCCCAGAACAGACCCTGGAACATAGTAGACATGAGGCAATGGTGATGACTCCAGCCTCCTCTCCCATTACTGCACCTGCCCACTAAGGAGGGGTGACGGGACACATGAATGGTGGTCACCAGCAACTCTGACAAATCCTGGATTTGAAATAGAAATCATTTGGTGTTTGCGTTATGTGGGAAGAGGCCAGTCTTCCCCCAGGCCTCAGGTAAACTCAGCACCAAGGAGGGGACACATGCAAATTTCAGGAGGCAAGGAGCTGGCCCAAGAGCAGGAGAGCCCTACAAGGCCACAGCCCCTTGTCCTCACCATGGCCTGTGCTTACAGTGATCTGTGCCTTGCAGAGCCCCATGGCCTCCTTCAGTGAGGACAGGAAGTGGTAGTTGGTCGGGCTCAGGAGTTCATGGTCAGCTGAAAGGTAAAAGGAAACCACACAGCTTTCCCGTGTGCAATTCCCACATCTCCTCAGCAATTCAGACACTGGTTCCTCATAGAGGCAGACAGCCTCTCCTGCTTTCATCACAAAATGTTCAGTCACACGAGAGCACACGGGCTCCAGGGAATGCCAAGTATGGACTCTCACCTGGGGAGAAATAAAACAGAATAAAAACAGGCTTTCTTGGTTGCTATGTTTTTAGGGAACAATAGTAGTAATAATTGCTGCAAGTCAGGAGAGCAGAAATGGTTAACAGACTATGAAATCTGAGTTCTAATCTCAGTCCCACAAAGTGCTAGTTACATGACTAAGTTAACATCTCAGTCTTCATTTCTTCATATGTAGAATTAAAATAACAGCAGTAATGTCACAGGCTGTTGTGGGAATTTAAAAAATAATCCATGGAAGCCACAGTACCTGATGCGTTGTAATTTTTCTGTAAATGTGACCTATTTTCAGTGTTATTAGTGTCCTCCAAACTATAGCCATCTAAGACTTTTTACTTAAATTTATTTTTTTTAATACAAATCTGTTTTCCATATGCCATTCTGAATAGTTCTACTGATTTTCACTATATCATGCCATTTTTAACCGTTTCTTTTTATAAAGTTTGGACTATTTCCAGTCTCTAATAATTATAAATAACCTTGCATTTAAGGGGCACTTTACAGCATATATAATTTGCTTTCATCTAGTAATTTTATTCGCTATTCATAGAAAGCCTGTAAGAAGTTAGACTGGTCATTTTACAGAGGAAGAAATTGAATCACCAAGATGTGAAGGGTTTTGCTTATGGTCACATCATAAATGGCAGGGTTTTAGCCAGAATATATGTATTCTAACTCTAAATTAATTTCTCTTTCATTTTCCCAAAAGAATACACCCAAACAACTAAATAAATAATCTAAAAGTCCCCTTCTATCTTAGAAAACAATCCAAGTAACTTACAGTGAGTGTCATCGTATAATCCGAGTGAAGATCTGACACACCATAGATATAGAATATGTTTTCATTCTCAAAGCCTACTGGCAGCAGTGGAGCAAAGAAATTCTGAGCAAAGTAATGAAGCATTTTCCACTTTCCTCCGTACTCTGAAAACAATCAAGAGTGTCGGGAGATGGCAAGGTCAAGTAGTCAGAGAGGCACTGTTCAATGACCCAGCTGTGTGTGGCTCATCAGGGTTCTAAGGGAGTGAGCATGTGAGGGAGAGTCAACAGTGAAGGGCACCCATGTTTGTGAAGGGCTCTGAACACTCTGGACATTATGTCATGCCATCCTCACAACCTCTGCGCAGGCATTAACAACCCATGCCATTATGCGATTTCATCATTGTGCGATCATAGGGTGTACTTACACAAACCAAGGTGGTATAACCTACTACACGCCGAGGCTATACAGTATAGCCTGTTGCTCCAGGCTACTCACCTGTACAGCATGTTACTGTGCTGAATACTGTAAGTAATTCTATATATAGCAACGGGACAGTGAAAGTACAGCATTATAATCTTATGGGACCACCATCATATATGCACTCTGTTGTTGACTGAAATGTTATATCGTACATGACTGTATATAAGAACTTATAGATTCTAGGTAGCCATTGATTGCTTTAAAGTATAACCATTTCAGGTGATAAAGGATAACCCGATACCTCCCCACCCACACCCACTATAAGCAGTGGATTTATTGAGCCAATCAACAGTTAAATGGGGGCTATGAGGCCCCCAGAGCAGAAGCAGATATAGACAACTTGTCACAGCTTCTCCCTGATACTTGTTTTCCCTAACAAGTACAAGGAGCCAGTGATCTTCCTCAGGCAGGCAGGGTCCTGCCAGGGTTTAGAAAACAGCCAAGCTCTGGTACTTGGGTTTTCCTACTGTGATATTAGTATATACATATATATCATTTTTCTTTGGTGATATTATTATATATATATATATATATATATATATATATATATATAATTTTTATTCTAGAGTTTGATATAGTTTGGCTGTGTCCCCACCCAAATCTCATCTTGAATTGTAGCTCCCACAATTCCCATGTGTTGTGGGAGGGACCCGGTGGGAGGTAATTGAATCATAGAGGTGGGTCTTTCCCAAGCTGTTCTCATGATAGTGAATAAGTCTCATGAGAGCTGATGGTTTTATAAAGAAGAGTTTCCCTGCAGAAGTTTGCTCTTACCCGCTGCCATGTAAGAAGCCCCTCTGCTCTTCCTTCATCTTCTTTTTTTTTTTTTTTTTTGAGACGGAGTTTCGCTCTTGTTACCCAGGCTGGAGTGCAATGGCGCGATCTCGGCTCACCGCAACCTCCGCCTCCTGGGTTCAGGCAATTCTCCTGCCTCAGCCTCCTTAGTAGCTGGGATTACAGGCACGTGCCACCATGCCCAGCTAATTTTTTGTATTTTTAGTAGAGACGGGGTTTCACCATGTTGACCAGGATGGTCTCGATCTCTTGACCTCGTGATCCACCCGCCTCGGCCTCCCAAAGTGCTGGGATTACAGGCTTGAGCCACCGCGCCCAGCTCTTCCTTCATCTTCTGCCATGATCGTGAGGCCTTCCCAGCCATGTGGAACTGTGAATCCACTAAATCTCTTTTTCTTTATAAATTACCAGTCTCAGGTATGTCTTTATCAGCAGCATGAGAACAGACTGAAATAGTTCCTAGCTCATAACTACCATAGCCCTTGTAACAGACTCTTGTTATAATGTTGAGGTGTTTTAGGACTCAAAAGCAGGCCTCAGTAACAGAATCTATCGCTCTGACTTCTTCCCTCTTTGCTCCAGCCCAAGCCAGCACTCTAATCTGATTGTGGGTCATAAGACACTTATTCAGCAGGCATCCTGCCCCATAACCTGAAGGAGGGAATGCTTCACAGAGAGGCCAAGAAGCTGAATGGACAGGCCTTGCTGGGTTTCTCCACTCAGTCTAATGGTATTAGATTATATCCGCTTTGTCCAATCACATTTCTACATGGTTATCAATCATGGCTATCCAATGAAGTCTCCCTATAATGCCCAAGAGGACAGAGTTCAAAGAACTTCCAAATAGCTGACCACATGAAGGCTGACAGAAAGATGAACAAGTACTCATCCACATTCCTGGAGGGTGGCACACCCCCACCTCACAGGGACAAAGTTCCTGTGCTCAGGATCCTTCAAGACTTCACCCCATGTATCTCTTCATATGGCTGTTTATTTGAGCCTTTTAAAATATCCTTTCATAATACACTGGTCAAAATGTTTCCTTGAGTTCTGCAAGCCACTCTAGCAAATTAAATACAAAGAGGGGGCGGTCGTGGGAACCCCAATTTGAAGCTGGTCAGTCAGAAGTTCTAGTGACCCAGACTTGTGACGTGTCTAAAGGGGGAAGGCAGCTTTGTGGAACTGAGTTATCAACCTATAGAATCTGATGCTATCTTCAGGTAGATAGTGTCAGGCTTAAGCTGGAGGACACTCACATGATGTCCACTGCAAAAGTGATTGCTTGCTTGGTGTGTGGGGGAGGATTCTGTGTGGTCACAGAAGTCTTCTGTGTTGATTGTTGTTGTGGAGTGAGGGAATTAAAAAAGCACTTTGAGGCTGGGCATGGTGGCTCACACCTGTAATTCCAACACTTGAGAAACCAAGGAGGGCAGACTGCTTGAGACCAGGAGTTCAAGACCAGCCTGGGCAACATGGCAAAACCCTGTCTCCAGAAAAAAAATACAAAAATGAGCCAGGCATAGTGGTGCGCAGCTATAGTACTAGACTGTCAGAAGGTTGAGGTGGGAAAAAGGCTTAAGCCTGTGGGGTGGAGGCTACGGTGAGCCATGATTGCATCACTGCACTCCAGCCTGGGAAACAGACTGAGACTATCTCAACAAAACAAAACAAAACAAAAAAGCACTTTGAGTTTGAGTGGTTTTTTTTCCCCCACAGACCTACTCTTCCTGAGGAATTCAGGAATAATCTACATCATTTAAAGGAATATTTACAAAAGTTAGGCTCTCCCATTTCTTGAATCAAATTCAGTTTCAGAAGTCCCCAAGCTCATCCACAGACAGAAAGCAGAGTCAGTATCCAAGAGATTCTGAACATCTCTTTGGCCACCTTTCCAGCATCCCAGAAGGATTTCCCCCCAAGTCTACCCTTGATTCTCAAATGCTCTCTTCTCTGGTTACTGCTGATAAAGAGTCTCAACAACGAAACTGGATTAGAAATCCAGTCCTCTGTAAGAGTCATCCATCTGGCACTAATGAAAACATGTTTGGAATGAATTTCTTTTGATCTGCATTTACAGCCAATTTAAGAGCCTCACCCAACCTTTCTACTGTGTAGCCTTGCCTCATTTTTGACCCAAAACGATTCTTTGCATTATTAACTGAACTTTGTTTCAAGTCACCTCTAGTGAAGGCCAAAGATGCAATATTATTCCTTAATTTTTTTGTAATGTACCAGAATAGATGGAATAATTCAAACTGCAGGTCCCATGCCAATCATCTCACCCGTTGCAAGTTGAACTGTTTCAATTGGTCACCTTTCCCGTTTGGGATTCTGCCTCTACTACCTTTTCCCAAAGAGCTAAATAGGGCATAATAAAGATGTCCTTAAGAGTCATCTTCATTACGTCCTTAAAGGACATCTTTATCTGTCCATAAAGGGGTATCAGACAAAGGGAAACGTTAACATATAACCAGGCCAAACATTTACCTGACTGAATTATCTGACGCAGAAGAAGGGATGCTTAAGTTCATGCTTCTTTAGCCCCGGAATGTCCTCTTAAATAAATTCAAAATTCTATCCAGTAATTACAAGACACATGCCTTAGACTTATGTATATGAATCTATCCCATTCTTAGCCTGCTGTTGCAACTTTGCACAGCACAGAACTCATAATTAGGTTACCCTTGAGGCTCATGGAAAGACTGCTAAGGTGAATTGGGTGGCTGTAGCTCGTAGGCGGGCTTTTTAAAAAATGACCTCTTTTGATCGTAGCTCTGCCTGGGCTGATCTGACCCCTTCGGCTCTATGCTTTCTCAGTCCCACTCCCTACAGTGTTGCTTTCTCTTAATCACACAAAGAACACTGAAACACTTACCAAGAGAAGCCCAGGAAGGAGCTTGCCAGATGTCATTCAACTGCCAATAAAGTGCCCCCATGGTGTGCCCTTGCTGATCCACTATCTCACTGCGACTGCGGAGGTAGAATTCAGTTTCTGTTTTGACACACTGGGCCTGCATCACCTGATTCAGGAAAACATTTATACACAGGTGTTATTGTTTGATGTAGACTGGTTAGCTTTGAGAAAATTACAGGGTTTAGTTTTGTTTTGGGTTTTTTTTTTTTTTAAGCAATTTGGATAAATTAGAACATTTAATTAGTATTGGGAATACATTATACTAGATCTGTCTGTAACTAGCCCCTTAGCATGAGAGAAGCTGTTGTCTGTAACAGCAGGTTTGTGTGGGAGGCTTGGTGTTTAATTACTGTAACAATGGGTGACAAAGGAAATAGGATGGTGTGAAAGGTTTGCTAATGATAATGTAGGCCATAAAGAAAAACAAAGACTATTATTCCAGAACAAATGCTGTATGTAGTCTAAAACTAGCTTATTTTCGTTGATAAATTTTGCTAATATTTTCACAGCTATTTTTTTTGAGACAGAGTCTCGCTCTGTTGCTCAAGCTGGCGTGCAATGGCGCAATCTCCACTTACTGCAACCTCTGTCTCCCAGGTTAAAGCGATTCCCCTGCCTCAGCTTCCCGAGTAGCTGGGATTACAGGCACGCACCACTGTGCCTGTATTTTTAGTAGAGATGGGGTTTCAGCACGTTGGTCAGGTTGGTCTTGAATTCCTGACCTTGTGATCTGCCCGCCTCAGCCTCCCAAAGTGCTGGGATTACAGGCGTGAGCCACTGTGCCTGGCTTCACAGCTATTTTTTTAAGAAAAACTTTTACTAGAAATAATTCTATATGAAAAATAACATTGGTATTACAAGTCTGATATCCAATCCCTAACACTTTTTTTCTAGTCAAACAGTTGTTTTGATGTCATGGTTTTTGATAAGGTAAGATTCTTATGAATGTAATTCCTTCGTTGCAGCAGAACGGATGGTAAATTGCAGCAATGAGACAAATGAATTTAGTTCTTGTTTAAGATAAACTAAAGAACTTCACACAGGACCCTTAATTACTGTCATCATCATTGAAAAATCAGTCTCTTTTATTGCTGCTGTTACAGACACATGAATCACATGCTCTTGGCCTGGAGTTGTGCTGAGGAGGGGCTCATAAATGGGCCACTGAGTAACACTGAGGAGAGCCCAGAGAGATGGTCAGAGCAGCAAGGCTTTCAGTCAGAGAACAAGATGGCCTTAGAGTAGGGCTTGGGTTTTCAGAGGAAGAAAAAGAACAGTGCACATGGCCACCAAAAGACTAAGCCAAGATGCTTTCCCATAAAAGCAAAAAAGCTCGGAAGGCTGACTAGTAAGGAAGTCATAGATGAGAGTATGACTTATATGAGTCACAGCCATCAAATTTCATAAAGGAAGCAGGAAGAAATTTTGGTCATTCAACAAATATTTATTAAGTACCTGCAGACTATGTTACATACGGGCACCCCACCCAGCAAAAAATGATACAGCCCACCCTATGGAGCTTATCAGATTGTGTAGAAGACAGGCCTTCATCAAAGAATCACCAAAGACAGGTAAACATTAAACAGTAACAATGCTAAGTAGGAGAGGTGTGCAATGTTGTTGGCCCAATGGTGGGGTAATTGGGCAGAGCTGTAGAGTGAGGATTGGCCTAAAAGAAGAGGAATGGGAAAAAGAAAGAGGGCAGAACCTTACAGAGTGGACAACATGCCATGGGAGGAGGATGTCAGGTTGGCTATGAATTTAAGGAAGGCCAAGAGGGCCTAAGCACAGGAAGCCGGAAGCAATGGAAGAGAGGCTGGTGAGAATCACAGGGGCTAGAGCTTGGAAGGCAGCATGTTGAAGGTGTTGGTGTGCATCCTGAAGGCAAATGGAAGTCACGAAAGGCTTTTAAACTAAAGGGTGATGTGACCAGATTTGCACTTCCAAAAGATGACTGAGACTACTGAAGGAGAAAAGGATTGCAAGGGGGGTAGGGTGAATTCAGGTAGACCATTTAGGCAAAAGATGGTATTAGCTATGAGCAGACAAAGAAACGCCTTCTCATTCAGAAACCAGACCACTAGGAACACAGCAGCAGTAGCAAGAAAATGTTCTAAAGTAAGAATCTCACAAAACGAGCAACATTGGTGCCACCTCAAAATAACCATGGCCCCTATAAACATTTGAGTTTTCAGTCTCTAAGCTGTATCAATTTCAGCATTATGTGCAAGATATGTTTATTTCTATATATCCATTCAAACATTAATCTCCTCACTATAATTTACTTTGTCCTGGTTTAATAGATAAAACTTATTAGTCCCTTAGAATTTTCAAAATTTGAAAAAAGTTTTAAATGCAAGTGAGATTCCTAACCCTCGCTAGCAATGAAAAGAAAAGAGAGCTAAAGTGGCTCTATGTAGTAGCCTCTCTTACAGGAAATTAGCATGAAAGAGCATAACCAAGACTCTTGTGTGCTCCAGGCTCTGGCACAGTGTGGTACTCTCCACATACAGATGGTAGCATGCTAATAACATAGACCTGAATCTAACCAAACCAGGGGGTACCAGTCAAAGCTAATGAATGACACCTTTGTTCATAAAAATGCAGAAGGCTATTGCCCATTATACTTCTTAAGGGATGTTGTACAATCCTAGTTCTCTGGAAAATCTCTAGAACTTCCCCTTCCCCTTTAAAAACTGTACCTAAATTTACACATCCATGCATCCTTTCCTAAAAAGGGCAGTCTTTACACATAAGAGGGATAAATGCTTAGCCATTTTCTAGGTTACTCAGTCCACTGTTAGCAGACAAATCTATTTTAGTTTTAAAAATATGCCTATTTGGCTGATGCAGCGGCTCAAGCCTGCAATCCCAGCACTTTGGGAGGCTGAGGCGGTGGATCATGAGGTCAGGAGATCGAGACCTTCCTGGCTAACACAATGAAATTCCATTTCTACTAAAAACACAAAAAATATTAGCTGGGCATGGTGGCATGCGCCTGTAGTCCCAGCTACTTGTGAGGCTGCTGAGGCAGGAGAATCACTTGAACCCAGGCAGTGGAGGCTGCAGTGAGCCAAGATCGTGCCATTGCACTCCAGCCCGGTAACAGAGCAAGACTCTAAAAAAAAAAAAAAAAAAAGGCTATTTCTTTGCAGCTTGATTACACTTACTTTGTCTCCTAGGAGAAGCAAATAAATGGTATGGTGAAAAGAAATTGGATCAAGATACCAAGACTTAAGTCCCAATTCCAGCATTGGCACTGGTGGTTGTTAGCGGTCTTCCAAAACCCATAAACCTTTCCTCCAGAGAGCTGTAGCTGGACTACATTTTCCAGAAACACACCCCCAACCCGTGGGACTTGGAGTACCCATGTGACTTAGCTCTCTCAATATCTATATACTTTATTTAGTTAAATTATCCTGACACTAAGAATCCTCCAATAAAACTGTTTTTAAAACCAAGATTTAACTCACATACCATAAAATTCATCATTTTTAGAGGTTATAATTCATTGGTTTTTACCACAGTCATAAGGTTGTGCAATTTTTTCCACTATCTAGTTCCAGAATATTTTCATCACCCCAAAAAGAAACACCATACTGGGAAGCAGTCACTCCCCATTCTTCCCTCTCCCCAGCTTCTGGAAACCACTTAATCTACTTCCTCTGTTCTGGGATTTGCCTATTCTGGACTTTTCACATAAATGGAATGATAAAATATGTGGCTTGTGACTGGCTTCCTTTTTACTTCTGAATAATATTTTATTGTATGGATATGCTACATTTTGCTTGTCTATTCATCAGCTGAAAAACTGTTATTTCCACTTTTTGGCTATTATGAAAAATGCTGCTATGAACATCTGTGAACAGGTTTTTGAGTGAACTTTTTTTTTTCCATTTTTTTGAGTATATATACCTAAGAGTAAAATTAGGTCATACGCTGGGTCATACGGTAAACTCTATGTCTAACTTTTTAAGGAATTAACAAACTGTTTACCACCATTTTACATTCCCATCAGCAACATATAAGGGTTCCAATTTCTCCACATCCTTGCCAATACTCATTATTTTCCTTTTTTAAAAAATTGTAGATATCATAGTAGATATAACTGGTATCTCACTGTAGTTTTTGATTTGCACTTTTCTAATAACTAATGATGTTGAGCTTCTTTACATGAGTTTACTCATCATTTTCTTTAAAGAAGTGTTTATTCAAAGCCTTTGCCAATTTTTAAATTCAGTTGTCTTTTTCGTTATTGATTTCTAAGAGTTCTTTATGTATTCTGCATGCTAGGTCCCTATCAGACATATGATTTGTAAATTTTTTCTCCCATTCTGGGGATTATCTTTTCACTTTCTTGATAGTGTCTTTCGCCATATGAAAGGGATTATTTTTGTTTTCTGTTTTTGATGAAGTATAATTTGTCTATTTTTTTTGTTAATTTCTTTATTGTCAAATTCAAGAAACTGTTGCCTAACCAAAAGCCATAAAATTTACACCTAAGTTTCCTTCTAAGAGTTTTATAGTTCTAGCTATTGCATATAGATCCTTGATCCATTTTGAGTTAATTTTTGTATATGGTATGAGGTAGCAGTCTGAATTTATTCTCTTGCACGTGAATATCCAATTGTTCCAGCACCACTTGTCGAAAACGTGATTCTTCCTCCCATTTTATTCTTTTTACCATTTGAAATGTAAATTAGTACAGCCATTATGCAAAACAATATAGAGGTTCCCAAACTATTAAAAATAGAATTACCATATGATCCAGCAATTCCACTAGTGGGTATATAGCTGAAGAAAATGAAATCAGTACGTTGAAGAGCTGTGCTCCCATGTTCACTACAGCATTATTCACAATAGCCAAGATATGAAATCAACAGATGAGTAGATAAAGAAGATGTGGTACATATACACAATACAATATGATCCAGCCTTAAAAATGAAGAAAATCCTGTCACTTGTGACAACATGGAAGAACCTGGAGGACATTATGTTAAGTGAAATAAGCCAGGCACTAGTGAAGCTACCTGGTTCTAAACTTTTCCTTTTAGAAGAAGGATTTTTTTGCTTGTTTGTTTGTTGTTATTGTTGTTGTTTTTACTA